GGTAAATGAAAGGTTTAGTTCCTGCAGAAAACCATTGAGTGTTCAGATCATGCAGCTTGTCCAGAAATGCTCTTATGTCCCCAGGCCACATGTGCTTGGCAGCATCAATTCGGAATCCTGCTACACCAATGTCAATGAGATGGTTCATGTATTCTGCAACCTTTGAGCGCACATAGTCCTTCTCCAGGGCCAGATCCAGAAGGCTGCTCAAGCGGCAGTCCCGGACCTGTGTAACAGAAAAGAATAAAGATATCTGTGTATTACACCAAAGGAGGGGTGGAGATGGGGTGGTGGATAATGAGGTTGTATTGGATTGGGAGGAAAGGAGGGTGTGATATCCAGAGTAAAAGCTTTTGTCTTCCCAAGTCACTGTTGCACATGATAAAGCCCTACTGTCCTGGAGACAGCTGAACACCTGCCTTCTAATGGGAAGTGATGAATAAATTCTTGTTTTACTTTGCTTATGTGTGTGGCTTTCTCTTTACCTATTAAACTGTCTTAATCTATGAGTTTTCTCAGTTTTACTCTTCCAGTTCTCTTCCCCATCCCACTAAAAGTAGGATGAGTAGTGTTTAGCTGCTGGCTGAGTTAAACCACAAGTTTTCTTTGGTGCCCAACGTGGGACTCAAAGGGTTTGAATTAATCAGTGTCTGTGATTAATGTGCTAGATGGAATTTCCAGCTGTCTTGCTGTTTGGCTAATAATTGACAGGCTCCTGTGCTTGCCATGGAGCTCACTGGCCTCACTGAGCATTAGAGTCTAGGGCTCATTAGCAGCTGCTTTGTGCTGTGGCTGCAGCTGCAGCCTGTGCTGCTGATCCCCCAACCTGGGACATTCTGATCCCAGTGCTGGCGCTGGCCTGGGCTGGCACCTGAGGGACTGCAGGGCCTGGGGAAGTCCAAGCCAGGGCTGGGGTAAGGGGAGGAGTTCATTGCAACATAAAGCATGATGCTCTAGTCCAAAGGAACTGGGAGTGGACATTGTAATGGAAATACCTTTAATTTATTGTAATCCAGGATTTGGGATATGTGTTATAGGGGTTACCACAGCAGAAGCCACCTGAACCCATGAAGGACAAGCCCTACATGAAGCAGTGCAAGTGCAGAAACATTATAATGTATTGTTGCAAAGTGGCTGAAGGGAGAGCTTCAGAAAGAACTGCTTCATATTCTAACTACAAAACCCAGTAAACTGTGTAACTACAGCACCACCTTGCACTGCTCACAGTTTTCCGAGGGGGCTCCTTATCGTGATCTGCTGAGTTTATAGGCCATAAAAATGAGCTCACAGGCTGAGCTGAGTACACTGGGCTCACTTCAGGAGCAAACATCTGCATGTAGGTTCTTGATTCCTCAGTACTTAGAATATTTTGGGCCACACGTACCTATGGTCACCACTTCATTCACTTGTCAAGTGACTAAGCACAGGTTTTGTGAGGCACTACACCTTTTGATTTTACTGTAGAGTTAACAGAATATGTCAAGAAAAAAAAAAGTTTTGAAAAATTTTCCAGGGAAAGTTACCTGATAGATATCATTATAACTTTCAATTTCTCCACTTCCAGTGTGACATTTGCCATCATTGAAATCCCAGCCAGAGTACGGGACAGCTGGAAAATCTCTGTTTCCAGCATTAAAATAGCTTCCACAGGTAGAATGTGTACCTGAGCCACCTGCAGCCCCACACATATGGTTGACGACAGCATCCACATAGATACGAACCTGGAAGAGCAGTATGTGCATGTCAGTGTTTTGTAGCAAACATGAAGTGATAGCCAGGGATTTACCACATCACTCTTAAGTGGATTATTTTCCCTTTCAGTTTCTTCTCAGTTTACATCTCCTTTGAGGACAGCAGCACCTTCCCTCAGCTGATACAGCACTTCTTGCCATATCAGACAGATTTTCAAGGCACTTACTCCAACATTGTTGCATCTCTTCACCATGTCTCTGAATTGCTCTTCATTTCCTGATCGAGAGCAGATCTTGTAGCTAATGGGCTGGTATCTTTCCCACCAGGGCCTGTTCGGGTTAGTAATAACAATATTTTCATTTGGAGGTGAAACCTACAGATGAAATGATGTACTTTGGTAAGAAATCAAATGGTTTTACTAAGGGCAAAATCTGTGCTCAGGACATCTGCCCTCAGAGGAAAGTTAGTACCCAAGCCAGTCTTTCTCCCACAGCAGAAGTTCAGATCTGTGAGATGTCTGTCTTGTACACTGGCAAGAAAGACATTTTGGTTTGCTCCTGTGAGTTGCCTGGGTCCAGCATGGGCCTGCTTTCCAGGACATGTGCATGGAAGGGCTGAAGCCACAGGAATTATTTTCACCTGTAACAGCGACAGCCTTAGGAATGCCAAACCTCACTGCTTCCGTACTTCCTTTAGAACAAGGTAAAGAGCTTTACCTCCCACTTAGCTTTGAGGGGAAGCCTTTCAGCATGCCCCTTTGTAACTGATCTGCTAGACATACACCATCATTCATTCCTACAGGGCCCTGCAGAGTTAGGGCTGCTTCTAAAAGCAGTTACTACTTCCTACCCTCCCTCCTCAGCAAGATGACTGTCCCCAACTCAGACATTATTAATCAAATTATTGAATATTAACAACTTATGAATCAAATATTACAATGCCATTTTCCTACTACTCACAGGAGACAACTGACCTGAACTCCTCCAAATCCATTAGGAGCTAAGTAGCGTTCACACTCCTCAGCAATATCCTGCCAGCGCCATTCAAAGAGATGCACAATGGAGGTTCTCTTTGGGACAGTGTTGGGGTTGTACTGCCCCCAACAAAGCCCTGCAGCTGCGAGGAGGAGGAGAAGGATTTGCATGGTGCCTTCAGTGTAAGGCTGTGGTCTCTTCACCGGCTATTTATGTGCCTGCAAGATGACAAAGTTCCTCTAGCAGGTGTCAAAATTCACATGGATCAATGCTATCAGTTATTATTTAGATAGATAGCTCAATATCATTATTTGGTTTGTTTTTTTCTCCTGAATAACCCAACAGCTGAAGATAAAATACTTTTTCACAATGATTATGCCATCATAAACTGTGTGGTCCACGAGTAGTGCACCCAAATCCATAACTGCACCCTTTCTAATCACATAAACAAAGATACTTTATCAAAAGTATTCCAAAATGTGGAAAATCAGACAGCTGCAGAAGCTGAACTGGCTAGTGCCATCCTCTTGGTCCTGGGAGAGATAAACTCAAGGCAAGGGCAAAAGTTAAGACATCCTATCTGGTCACTCTGACAGCTCTGGCAAAAGAATGTAACAAGGACATTGCTGGTGAAAGAATGGTAACTGAGAAGATTGTGTTACTAAGGGAACAGGGGCAAAGGAGTCTGAGTGGAAAATTTTGGACAGAATTTAGAGTCCTATAAATACTGGTAAACTGATGCAACAAACAGCTTTGCTTGCATAGCATGGTCTGTGTCTCTCAATCCCCGGGCATGGTGTCCCGTGTGAGGAACGACAATTTGCCTATCTGGCCATTGTGGGGATGCCCCACAGAACTGAAGTGCTGCAGAAAGGAAGCAGGAGCCAGCCAGCATCCATCCCCTCAGGTTTTGATGGTGAGCTGTGGGGGACATGGGCAGTAATATGTCTTCAGAAGAAAAACATGTCTTTGAACTTATGTATAAACTTTTAGAGAAGCCCAGAAAAACAGTTGCTTCTCATTCTCTTAAACTGATTTTACACTGGTCAGAATCACATGTTAAAGGGTTAAAGGCCAGCATGGCTTTCCCAGTGGAATTGTAGGTTGAATGGGTGATGAGAGGTGATAAGATCGAAGCTGGTTTTGTACATCTCTGGAGAGCTATTTTAGAAACTCTTTAAGCTCAGGAGGGTGCCAGGAAAGAATACTGGTACCCCCTCAGCAACAGGCAAGGACTCTGCAGAGGAGCTTTTAACATCCCCCTCTGCCTAGGAAGGATGAGAGTTGAGTCTTTCTTTGTGAGTCACAATCCGAGGGAAAGCAAGATGCTGGCACAGCTGATTAAGTAACATCAGCAGTGTTCGTTGGACAAAAAACCATGGAATTGTGAGCAGTGGGGAGGTGTTCCAGTAGTGTCAGTGCAACTTACACATAGTACAGTAATTTCTCCAAATTGGAGCCACTGTCATAATGGGTTAAACACCCTGTACCTATTTCCTAAATGAAAGGGACCTTGAGATTAAAAAACTCCTGTAAGCAGTTGCAACAGGAGTACTAAGAAAGATACTGATAATGAACCTGGTCGTGGATCCAAGACACAGATCCTGAGAACAAATCCACAGAACGGATCGATCCTCAATTTGGTGCGCGGTGCTGCTGGCAGTGGCGGAGCCCCCTCGGAGCTCCCCCTACCCACGGTAATACCCCATGGCTGGTATTAGCCCCCTGGGCTTGAAAGCCCCCCTGGCTTGTCTGAGTTCTCCCGCCTCCTTCCGCGCCGGGCGGCAGTGCTGACCTGAGGGTCCCCGGTCTGTGCCTGCCGAGAGCCGCCCATCAGCTCCTGCACAGTAGGATCAAGCCCTGCACGGCAGGATCAAGCCCTGCACACAGTACTGAAGCCATGGCACAACACTGTTAGAGTGCCTGCAGGATGCATTGAAATACATTTGTTAAAATTAACCTTGTATTTTCAGGAAGCTGTGATTTTAACAGGATTGTTTACTGGAGAGATGATTCACTGACAGTCAGTAACTAAGTCCTATAACCTTGAATTTGATCTGCAGCAGTTTAATCCCTCCATGTTGCTGCTATTTTGGTCATGGAACAGTTGTTTACCTACGTGTTGTTCCTTCATGTTTAACTGTTGTATGACAGATTTCCAGTAACTTTTTTGTAATGATAGAGTCAAAATGACTCATGTTAAATTTAAGTGATATTAATTTTCAATTTTGTTATGTTTCAATTTAGTACACTTTAAGTAATGGTAAAATTCACTTCTGTTGAATTTAAATGATGTTACGTTTACCTTCTGTTAATTTTGAGTTCTGTTGCGCTTCTGCCAAATTAAGACACTGTTAAGGTTATGTACCGTTAATTTCTGTTAAGATTAATTTTTGTTCAAATTAATTTCTGCCAAGTTTATGTGTTGCTAGGCTTAAACAAAGTTAAATTTAAGTCTCATTCAATTTAAGATCTGTTATTTTAAGTTCTGTTCAGTGCTATTAAGTAATGTTAACTTCCTCCTCCCTAAACAGCACAGCCCCTGAACTCCAACCATATGAACTTCAGAACAGTAGCCATTTATTTCCAACTCCCAATTAGACATTATCCTTTTGTTCTCCTGTATGGGTCTCTTTGTCAGTGACATGATTGTATTTGATAAGTTTTCATTAAATGTGATCTGTATTCCACGTATCTTACGCCGTATCCAGCAGATAATGAGTAATAGTCTTAATAAGACAATGGCCTTACAGGTGCAAACTGTTTTAACATCAGGGTACACAAACCCCTTACATAAAAAAAAAAACAAAAAAAGGGGAAGATGTGGAAGATCAGAAAGCCACAGAAGCTGAGCTGGGTGGTGCTGTCATCCTCTTGGCCTTGGGAGAGATAAACTCAAGGTAAGGACAAAAGTTAAGACATCCTATCTGGTCACTCTGACAGCTCTGGCAAAAGAATGTAACAAGGACATTGCTGGTGAAAGAATGGTAACTGAGAAGATTGTGTTACTAAGGGAACAGGGGCAAAGGAGTCGGAGCGGAAAATTTTGGACAGAACTTAAGAGACCTATAAATACTCGTGAACTATTGTAATAAATGGTTTTGCTTGCATAGCATGGTCTGTGTCTCTCAATCCCTGCACCAAAACATAACACACAGACCCTCTGAAGGTAAAAGCAGTAGGAGCTGACTGAAAGATGACAGGAAATCTAATCCTTACATAAAAAAAAAAACAAAAAAAGGGGAAGATGTGGAAGATCAGAAAGCCACAGAAGCTGAGCTGGGTGGTGCTGTCATCCTCTTGGCCTTGGGAGAGATAAACTCAAGGTAAGGACAAAAGTTAAGACATCCTATCTGGTCACTCTGACAGCTCTGGCAAAAGAATGTAACAAGGACATTGCTGGTGAAAGAATGGTAACTGAGAAGATTGTGTTACTAAGGGAACAGGGGCAAAGGAGTCTGAGTGGAAAATTTTGGACAGAATTTAGAGTCCTATAAATACTGGTAAACTGATGCAACAAACAGCTTTGCTTGCATAGCATGGTCTGTGTCTCTCAATCCCTGCACCAAAACATAACACACAGACCCTCTGAAGGTAAAAGCAGTAGGAGCTGACTGAAAGATGACAGGAAATCTAATAGCATTAAGAGAATGAATGAGTTTGCCAGCATTCAGAGGTGTCTTGCCCTCAGAATTAGACTGAGTCCAGACGAGGGTATGAACAACTGTCATGGTTTTATACTGGCCCAACACCAGGCATCCATGAGAGTTGCTTGCTCACCCTCCCCTGACACATCTGGGCAGTGGAGAGGGAAACAATTAACAAAGGGCTCATGAGTGAGATAAGAACTGGAAGAAAACGTTTAAGGGCAAAATAGATTCAACTTAAGGTTGCAAAGTGAGTTTATTACACAGAATCAGAGGTGGATAATGAGAAGTAAAATAAGCCCTTAAAACACTTTCAATCCAGGCTCCCCTCCTTCCCACTGACAGCGCAGGGAGATAGGGCATGGGGGTTTTGGTCAGTTCATCACCAAGATTCTCTTCTGCTGCTCAGGGAGAGGAGTCCTCCCCCTGTGAGGTTACGGGGTTCCTCCCACACAAGACATTTCTCCATGAACCTCCCTGGCGTGGGTCTGCTCTCAAGAGCAGCAGCCAAACCTCACCTGCTGCAGCTGAGTCCCTCTCATGGGCACACAGCCCCCCAAAATTGCTGCAGCCTGGGTCTCTCTGCCCAGAGGGTGCAGTCCTCCAAAGACAGACTGCTCCACCCTGGAAGCAAGGGCCCCTCTCTTCACCGGGTCTTCCACTGGATCCCAACCTCCTGCAGGCATCCACTTGCTCTAGAATGGGCAGCTCCCCCACAGGCTGTGAGTGGATCTCTGCATCCCCCATGGATCCCCATGGGCTGCAGGGACACAGCTGCTTCACCATGGTCGTCACCATGAGGCCTGCAGAGGAATCTCGCCTCTGGCACCTGGAGCACCTCCTCTCCCTCCTTCAGCACTGACCTTGGTCTGTTCTCACCTCCTCCTCTTTTCTGACTAGATGAAAACCATGTGCCTTTGTTTTGATTTTCTTCTTAAATATGTCAGCACAGATGCATTACCAACCTCTCTCACTGGCCCAGTTTTGGCCAGCAGCATGACCATCTTCAGAGCCACCAGGGACTGGCTCTGCTGGAAATAGTGGAAGCTTCTGGCAGCTTATCACAGGAGCCACCTTTGTGGTACCCTGGCTACCAAAAACCAGGCCATGCAAAACCAACACGTCAGAGGCAAGGAACAAAACCCAATATCAGATGCAAACAATAGTGCAGATGAGTTTTAGCTGCCTGACATATACCTGAATTTGAAAGCTAGAGCTCTTTTCCAAGTCCTCTCTTGTATTTCCTACAATTTCCTCCTTCAAAAAAAAAAGACCTTTGACTTTTCTTCATGAAATGACTTCAGGTCTGCATTTGGAACTGACAAAAGATCAATGTCTTAGCAACAATCCTCCATGAATAAACTTGAGTAATACTAGCAATAAAATAATACTCTAAGATAATACGAAGACTAGAAAATCAACTTGAATTGTGCCATGTGCCAGCACACAGGGGTCTCCTCTTGGTTTTTGGATATCCTGCCAATTATAGCAATCCTGCTTGCCCTTAAAGAGAACTGCATTTC